AGGATTCTTCACATTGAATTAGCTGATTTTAGCCTTCTCATTTGTTATCATAAAAATTGATCTAAAACAAGATTCGAAATTAACTTGTATCCGTTCAAGACGCAGAAAATTACCACTAGGGTGGTTTTTCGCTATTCTCGGTACTGGCAGTAGTTCTAAAATCAAATTTAAAAAGTCTTAAACATTCAAATGTGATGAGTGAGAGTGATAGATAAGGTAAAATATGTCAATTGAACATAATTTTATTGAAATTCTGGCTTACGGACTCCAGCACCGACTCAAATTCTGAAAATTCGGGTATTTGGGTCGGTATTGGAGTCCGTGAGATCTCAAAATCAAAGCAAAACTGATCCAGTTGACATATTTTACTTTCTTTTTCGATCATACTCACTACAGTTGGATGTTTCAGACTTATTAAATTTGATTTAGTAGTTAAAACAGTTTAATTTTTCACCATGGCAAATGTAAGGTCAATTCATATCATCAATTTGGCATCCAATATGGCATCTTTTCATTTTTAAAAAAGCTTCAAATACACTAAAATATAAGTATTTTTGGGACAGAAATGATGAGATTGTTAGGCGCGCAAAGCGATCAAATTCAAAAAAATATTTTTTTTAGTTTGTAAAAATAAAATCGAACTGTTGTGTTTTTTTTAAGTCGTGATTTTAATCAAATGAAAGGCGTTTTGAAGATCAGTGTTTTGACTACATAGGGGTTTTGATCTGATTTTCGTCCTACAATGTTGGCTAATGAACCGGAAAAAAACATGGAAAACCATCAAATAACTTGGAGTTGTTAAAAGTAACCGGGAAAAAACGAGAATTGTATGGGATAACCGGAGAAAACAATAAATCTTAAAATACAGTTACATACATTGTAGGTTGTATTTAAAAATATTTATGCATGTTCTAGTTCATTATTATGAATGTTTTTTTCTTCTCATGTAAATAAAGACTTATTCTTCTGGATTTTTGCTTCTCATATTTTCTATTCAATTTTTGTTTTATTTATCCTCAGAACTTTTTGAAGTTCTTGCCTGAATATTTCTCAGTATTCCTTTGAAAATATCCTCAAAATCAGAACACCCAAAATATTCTGAATATATTTATTTTTAAACTCTTATTAGAATAAACATTAAAATGTACCTGCTCAGAAGCATTTCAGAGCTTCCTTTCTTCTTCACAGAAATTGATCTCAGAATTTCTGTGGAGTGTATCTCAAAAATAATCTTGGAATTCTTCAAATTTTTCATATATGGGAAATGGCTCTAATGTTGGCCTATGGATCTAAGATTGGGCCAATCGCTAAAAATCTGACATTTATCAATTTTATCTAGATGAACGCGTCATTGGGACGGTACTAATGGATATTTTTGGTCGCTATTGAAAATTTAGTCGATTGCTGAAATTATGTATGGGCCCACATTAGGGGCATTTAGGCCGACATTACATCCATTTCTCCTATATTGTTTTTGAATCCTCCTCAGTATTTCTTTGAAATTAACACTTTACATTTTTTTTGTTTAAATCATCCACAACATTCTCCATAATCCCAAAAGTTTTACAATTTTTTAGAGCATAATCTGGAACATATATTTTTAAAAATCTCACATTTTGAGAATTTTGTTCAGTTCTAAATTAATTAAAAATTACGTATTTTAATTTTTCAATCTAGGTTCACGGTAATATGTTTAAATTACAAATCTCGAATAGATGTAATGTTCTAAAATCTAAAATGTTATTAGTCAAGGCCCAGAATCATGAAAATTTCTTAAACCTCCAAATTTTTATGATTTATTTTCTATAAATACAGGCTACAGAGTATTATCATATTTCCTTGCTTCGAGGTCTCCAAGGATTTTCCCTTGATTTCATTTGTAATCACATTCAAGATTTTTTTTTGAAACATTATTTTAATTCAATCTTTCACTGTTTACAATTTGGTCCAATGACCAGTTCCGTCCGATAGCATTCAGCCTATTGACCTTAGAATATGACTTTATTTCTCAATTAATTCTAGAGTTGCTTTGAAAACATGAGTTTTGAGGCTTATAAAAAGTGATACAAATTGAGTTTTATAAGTATCTCGAAAATAACGTTTACTTTTTGTATTTTTTATTTAATCACTCAACAGCTATGAATCGCTTCCAGTTAGTTGACTAACTCACTGGGATTCATAATTATTATTAGCTGGTTCTTAATTGTTGAGCATTTGCATATGGTCACTATTAAAAAAAATGGGAGCATTGACAACTTATGAATTTTGCCGAATGAAAACCGAAAAGATACCGGGAATTTGAAAATGAAAAATCACTGGGCGGCTCTAATAAGCTGTACCTCTCTTTTTCGAACGGATTTGAACAATAAAAATGGATTTCCCTTTCCATATGTACCGTTGGATTTGATAAATAATCAGAAAATGCTTAGATTTTCGTAAACATATAACACTTATTCTTGATTCGAAATGCTCAATTCGTCCAAACGCATTGAAACGCCATTCGAATATTCATACTATGCTCAACAAATACTTTGTTATTTTACGTTTGGTACATTGATGTATTTTCTGGCCTTAGGTGAAGCATAAACCATTAAAACATTAATTTTACATGAAATAATATTATAATACATTTATTTGCATTGCAGTTTAAATGGTTAAGTGTTTTACGTGGAATTCAACAGTTTAATTGATATTGATTCAATTATCAACGAACAACGATATAAATTTATAGGAACGTAAAAATTTCATTTTTGATTAATTGAATTTCAGTTCGTTAAACGCGTTTATATTTAAAAACCGTCTCCAGTTTGTAATTGAAAGCTGCAAAATATTTTTTATCAGTATGCTTTAATAGGCTTATTGTTGTAGTTTTGGAATTAACGTATAGGAGATGTTCTATTATTGATTTGTGTACGGCGAAATTAGAAATAGGAAATGGGCGATTACGACGAGGTAGCGCTCTACCCTATATTTAAAATTTCAGCTGGTTCGGTTCAAGAAATAACAATTTAAAAAAAGAAACAGTCAAATGAGTAGCTTTTACTAAAATTACTCAAACTTCATACTTCATACAGACTCAACCTAGCTCAAAACGAAACAGATAAATCTTGAAAAGTTGATACACCAGTTGAACTTGTGATAGAAAAGTTCTAGCTGATTGAACTTTTTCGGAGAATATATAAAATCAAGAGGTGCTATATTTTTGTTCGGTACTGTATATGTTCCGAATTACAATCACTTTCCTGAATTTCCGAAAGATAAAGTCAAGTAAGCTTTGCCCTATATCCGCACTGAAAGTCCTAAAACTATCCTACTTGCAGTACTGCTTTGAAAATTAAATTTCTTATGGTTAAAAATGTCGTCTTATCCTTACAAAATAACTAGGAGAGAAAGCCTTGTCAAATGCCACGACAATTTTAATTTGCCAAACTACTGGAGCAAACCTTCCTTCACTAGAGATTGGCTCAGGGCGTTAAAAATCACATTCAATAAAAAGAAACAGCCTCAGCACAATCATCATCCGGCACTATGGCTTTGAAAGTCATTTGGAACTTCGGTAATGAGATGCCGGTCGAGGACGATGATGGCTGCAATGGACGTTCGCTGGCAGGTAGTTTCCTTATTGCCTGAAGCTACAGCAACGGAGAAGAACAATAAACGGGATTTTCTTCCCTATGACCCTTCTTTACACTTTAGCATACTTTCTTTTGAATACAGCAAGGAAGGTGACAAAAATGGGTGCAACTCGGTACGTTAACTCGAACTGTGAGAATGCACTGTGAGGAAGTGACATTCTTCCGGATTTTTCGGTTCAAACTGTTGCCAGAGAATTTACTTGGTTTTTTTTTAAACAACCATTCTCGCAAATTGACACGTGTCGATGTTACCCATGACGAGACGCTCCCAAGCAAAAAATTGACCTCGTATAGTAAGGTTTTCTTTTATCCTCCAGCAGAAATGTATCTACAGCAAACTTTTTCCACTTACGAACGGTGTTGTTTACCGAAAGCGAGTTGTGTGGTTACAATTATTGTTTTGTCACCAAACTGTTCAGCTCATTCAGTCTCCATTCCAAACCTGCGACAACAGAAGGTCGAGTTTTGTCAAACTATATAGCTAGTCGCGCTCGTCGTCTTCTTTTGCTTGCACTGCACTACAGCCGTTGACTGTGGATTGTAACGCAACTCATACTTTGTCACCGTTGGCAAGTTTGTACAACAATTTTTCAGTGTCGTCAAAATTGTTCCACTGCTGTTGGTCGTCCTGTTCAAAGATCTCGCCACAGACGAGGTGGTGGTTGTGACAGTGTTGGGTAGTGGCTAAACAGCAATAACAGTAGCAGCAGAAGCAGCAGCAGCAGCAGCAGTAGCACCGGTTAGAAAAACTTAGTCACAAACTGCAGACATTCGATAGTTGTGAGTCTAACAAGAGCGAGACAATAAATCAAACCGGAGCAACTCCGTAGATTCCGGACGGCAACCAGGGGGAGGAGTGTGCTGAAAAATAATGTGTCGATTTTTTCGCTAAAAGTTTTTTCGTTTTCTCGTTTTGGTTTAGTAGTGCCAGCGTTAGTGTATGTGTGGAGATTTGGGAGCTAGAGGAAAACCGATGAAAACTGAATCGAAGAAATAACTCTGGCTGTTGATGCAGTGGAAAACCAAAACTACTCGGAGAAGAAAACCGCACCGAATGAGCGAATAATATTCGCTGCTTTCTGAGTGAGTGGAGCTGGAAATCAGACGAAGAAAGAGATTATAATAATGATGGAAAAATTAAAATAAAATGAAATTATGATAATGGCAGAAAGAGTGATGTGAAGAGAAGGCAAAAAAAATAAACGAATAAACTGTGAGTGTCTGGATGAGTAGTGTGTGCAGCAGTGTGTAGATCTGTTGGTGAGCCGCGCAGGAGAGGAGAACAGCTTAAAATCCTATTAGAGAGCGACCGTAGGAAAGAGCGACAGAGTGGGGGGGCTGCTCCATCGAAGAGAAGAAGGGGGGTTTGTGATCAACCACCGGAGGTTCTAAGCACGCTACCAACCACTAGCGCAAGTGCACCACCGGCAGACGTCTCCTAATGCCCGTCTTCGTCTGACTAACGGCAAAGGAGAAGCGAAATATTTTTACGATCATTTGTGCGTCAAGGGCCCGAGCCCTTATCTGAAACACAGATTTCACGAGTGAGGAAAACGAAAAGTGCACGGAAAATATCAAGCCTATATTGTTTGCCTGGAAAATAGTTATCATAAAATTAAATATTAATAAAGAGCCCCAGAACAAGGGAACATTAAGCAGAACCTCGTCGGAGTAAATAATCTCAAGCTCAGTCAGTGTGCGATTTGTGCTGTGGGAGAAAGCCGAGAAGTGAAGAGCGGGCGAAAATCAGTGCAAAATAAATTGTGCGAGGTTATGATTTCATGTGTATAATTTTTGATAATAATTTTTTATTGAGAAATATTGTATTGTAATCAAATTCAGATCGCATAGTTGAAGCACTCGCGAGCTTCATGACTGCTGGATGCGTGATTGTGTGTGAACGTTGGGGAAAAGTAGGGGGTTCGGGGTGAAAAACGATCCACCAAACGAACAGCATAAAGCAAACAAAGAATTAAACAGATTAATTATCGAGCTCGGCAGAATCTGATTAGTGTGCGAAGCGAGCTTTAGCGGCACGGTGTAATTAACCAATAAGCCACCACAAACGGTCTGAGGGCATAGAAGGAGGGCGGATACAGTACTGCTCCGTATCCCTATCGAGCGAACGAGTGAGTGAGCAAGCGAGCGAGCGCCCATCGTAAAGAGGCGAGAACGATACACACGGACCACAGACACCAAAAAAACCGCGAAAATTTCCGCCTTACTCGACGCCCGCACGGTTCCACAAAAATTCTGCAAACTGGAACCATATGACGTAAGCACGATGTACGCGTACGCGCAGGGTGGATCGCAAGGTCCACCACACTACGCTACGCCCAGTCAAGCGTACCTCCCGGCGACCCACCACCCGGCCTACCCGCCGTACCACCCGGGTCCGTCGACTCCGCCGGCGACGATCACCTCGTACAACAACGTGCCCGGACCGTCGTCCCTGCTAGGTCACCACTATGCCTCGCCGCATCATATGCCGCCGCCACCGCCGCCCATTTCGACGGTGACGCATGCTTCCTCATCGGCGGCGGCGGCGGCCGCGGCAGCAGCAGCAGCCGCCGCAGCCGCTGCGGCCGGTGTTACCCCTATGCAGACGGACCAGCAGTTGGCGGACTTGAATGCGCAGCTGGGAATTCCCAAGCGAAGAAGGTAAGTGACAATGTTCTAGATCTATACAATTCTTCATTGACAGTTACCAAGCTGTATCGATGGCAATGATTACCCAAGTGACCAACACCCGAGAAAGATCCGATAATATATGAATATTAGGTATGGTATCTTATTTTGAGCTTATATCAAATAAATACCAAAATAACAAAAAGTGATCCTTCAGTTTTAGGACAATACCTGTGCTTAAATAAAAAATTATGGCATTCTGGTATTCTGGCATGACATGAGAGTTAAAATACCAAAGAATAATACCAAAAAATTATATGCAAAATACTTTGTAAATAACAAAAATTGATATTTGGATACCAAAATAATACCTGTGTGGTATGGTTTTGGTATTGCATTATCATAATTTGGTATTGGAATGGTATTGTGGGAACATTTTTTTGGTATTATGTTTTGGTATTTTACCTCTTATGTCATGCTCATTCATACCAAGATATTCGAGATATTCGTTCCTGCATGCCCGAGCAGGAACCGATAGCTAATCGATAACAAATGAATATCTTAATGTGGTCTGGAACCAGATTTTGGTATGCTTGTGGTATAAAACCTTGTGTTGATATTATTCAGTTATCGAAATATTTTGTAAAATATCAAATGAATACCAAAATAACAAAATATGATCTTTCAGTTTTTAGACAAACACACCTAAAAGAGTTATTGCCCGAGCATGAACAAATATCTTGATACCTTAAATTGGTATGGATGAGCCTGACGTAAGAGGTAAAATACCAAAAAATAATACGAAAACAATGTTCCCACAATACCATTCCAATACCAAATTTTGATAATCCAATACCAAAAAACTACCTCCCAGGTATTCTTTTGGTATCCAAATATAAATTTTTGGTATTTACAAAGTATTTTCATTGTAATTTTTTGGTATTATTCTTTGGTATTTTACCTCCTATGTCATGCTGGTCAATACCAAATTTTAGTATCAGATCAAAATTAGGTATTCATTAGTTATTTTCTCCTGCTCGGGTGGACATTCAAAATAACAAATTTTGGTATTCTGGCATCAAAAAAGCGTCTGTTATCCGTTTGTTATTGAAATAACTAAATTATTTATTAGTTCGTTATTCGTAGAAAATTTTTGAGGTTTTATTTTTGGTATTTTTCCTCTTATGTCAGCCTCACTAATACCATGTTTTGGTTGCCAGTTATGCTATTTTCATACCTGAATTTGGTATTAATAAGTTATTTTTCCTGCTCGGGTTGCAAAGTATTTTGCATGCAATTTTTTGGTATTATTCTTTGGTATATTACCTCTTTTGTCATGCTGATCAACACCAAATTTTGGTATCTAGTCAGAATTAGGTATTCATTGATTATTTTGTTCTGCTCGGGACGTTCGCTTACCGATGTACTTGGGTACTTGCTATTCGTGCATCCTATCTTATAATCGGGTGATGTAGAGGAAACGCACCTATTTTGGCCATGCTGCTATTTTAGCGATGTTTTGTCAATACCCGAGCAGGAGAAAATAACTTATGAATACCAAATTTAGCATAACTGGCAACTTGAATATGGTATTGATGAGCCTGAAAGATAAAGTTTTGTTATTTTTGGATTTATTTGATATTTTACAAAATATTTTGTTAACTTACTAATAGCAAAGCGGAGTTTTATACAACAAGCATACCAAAATAAGGTATCATACCTAATTAATTTATTTATATGTATTTATTTGTCAACTTAGGCCAAACATAAAATAACAGAATGGTCAGTAAACCGGGAAAATTTAGAAATCCAGGAAAGTAACAGCGACTTTGATGCGAGAACCGGAAAAAGTAAGCTTACTATAGTAGACTGATTTTCGCTCCACAGTGCTTAAACGGCTTCCAAGCGGGTCCTTATTTGTCTCCGACAATTTGAACACGTTTGGTTGGAAACCGACTAAACCCTGTCTAAACCAATTGAAGTTTGTTTGGGAATTACTGTGGTTAAAGAAAACTTATTTTTCATAACTTTTTATCAATTTACAATATTTAACAAGAAAAATTGATGGCAGTGCTTACATGAAATTTTGTAAGCTACAACATTGCTGAAGAGCACTTAAGTTCAAATTTGGAGAAAATTATCAGTACCCGATTTGAAACCGTTCAAGCACTGTGGAACGAAAATTTAAAAATTTTCCTCGGTCTAATGTACAGGGTTAGTATTATGTATGATAATTGTTTTCCTACACAAACTTTTTCTTTGAATGAAAATAAAACTTCTGAAAATTAAATTTGAAAATTCTAATATTTCTACATTACAGTTTACATCTTTAGGTGTTATTTTTTTAAATTCATTTAACACTAACCAATTTTAAATCAAAAATTGAAAACTGTTTAATCGAAAGTTTGATTAAATTACGGTGACTCTAATGTCATGTTCAGACTGTTCAAGTTGTAACGTACTATAAGCTGTTCATTCTGGCAACCCTGGTTTGAAACAATCCGTTTAGCGCTTCCGTTATTCTCCTTTTGCTTCGTTGATTCTCGCCTGATTTTCAAAATGGCGTTTTCGATATTTTTCAATAAATCATAGCACGAAAACGGCTCATCTGATCGAAATGACGTCTGAGACAAAGTTAAAACTTCAATAGCAAAACAGGAATATTTTCAAGATTTTTAAACTTATGTTTATTTGAAAGCTTATCACAAATGCTAACTTTTCTGGTATTGTACAAAATGTACACTTTAATATTAACCAAAATCGTAGAACATTAAATTTTAGTTTAATGTTTGAACATTTATTTCACAAATAATTTTGATTGCTTCTAATGCAGAAAACAAGTTTTATAGTCCATAAAATCTTTTAGCCGCGTTGTCACGTCGTCACGAAATGTTTTACGTCTAGTAGGATTTAGATTTAAAAGTAACTACACAGCTAAAAATATCTGAATTTTACTGGTGATGTAAACATCCATGCATGCAAACATTCATGCATGTAAACTTCCTTTTCACGTAAGCTAGCAGCATATTGCATGACATGTCTCATAAATTTACACGATCTATAATGTAAACTTGCATGATATATGACGCTCCATTTATGTGCATCATAGTAACGAAAATTTACACTACTGTTTTTAGCAGTGTATATTAAAAACTATTGATTGGAAAATAAAGGATAACATATCTACTTTCTATAGGTGCAATTTCACTACAAGTATTAACATGAAATGAGTGATCAAAGACCGAAAATGTGTGTGACGCGACAACACTAATGGGTCTAATAAACTCTTTTTGAACACTCATCTGAATTCTCTTGGAATTTTTCTGCTATTTTGCTCACGATCCACATACATTGCTTCTCAGAATCACCTAGAAATTCAATCCTGAATTTTCTTCCTTCTCATCAGAAATCCCTTGGAACTCATCTCGGATTTTCTTATGATTTTATTTCAAATCTATAATGAAATGTTGGTCAAACTTACAGATTATAAATCCTCCTCAGCTTGTTTTGAAACTTTGAATCCCTTTTACATTCTCCCAAAATGCCATAGATTTTCTCGGCAGAATTCTGTTCAAAAAAAAATTTGTAAAGTTTTAGAACCCTGATAATTCCAGCAAGTCCCAAAGCCTTGATTTTTTTTAGAGCAAAATGTGGGATCTTGAAATTTTTCCACGTTTTCACAGATTGATGAACACATTTCCATTCTTGTTTTCTTTTTCTTAATCTAGGCTCACAAAAATTTTTATAAGTAACAAATCTCGAAAAAAAAAAATGGCATAGTCAGAGAACTACAAATGTCAAAGCCTCATAATCTTGGAAATTTCCTTAAATTTAAAAACGGTCATTTCCTTAAATTTAAAAATAATTTCTTAACGCTCCGATCCCGATTCCTCCGGTAAAATTTGTAACGGAAAATTGGCAATGTGTGAAAAAATATTTTTCAGCAATTTTTTCGATGGAATCTAAATCATTGAAATTTGTAGTTGCAAATAGCACAATTAGTTGTGAAATTCGTCAATAAATGGCCGAGCTATGCTTTTTCAAATATTGCAAGTTTTCCGTTACACATTTTACAGGAGACATCATGTTTGGAGTATTAATCCAATCTTTCACTGTTTACATTTTACAAGTGACCTTGAAAAATGTCTTTGTTTTTCAGTAAATTCTTTAGCTATAAAAACATGAGATCTGGAACATGAACAAATTAATTAAAATTTATTTTCTTAGTTCCTCAAAAATAATATTTGCTTTTAGTATATTTACTATAATCACTTCCCAGCTATGGATCGCTTGTGATTCATAATGTTTATCAACTGATCCTTAATTGTGACATGCGTGTTCAATTTAGTTTAGACCCATTCAGTTAAATATACTTTCAACTTTAAATAATGCGTCCTGTAGTTTTACTACAGAAGATTTACCCATAAATAACTTCGAAAATTTGCACGTGGTCTTGATTGAAATTATGTTTATCTGGATCAATTTTTGAATAAAAAATTGCTTTATTTTTTAAAATTTTCTCACGAACACCTGAACTAGAACTCACCAGCAACTTCTGGCCCAAATTTCAGAAATGTTCAGTCTAAATGTCATTGCGATGTTCAAAGACCGACCGATCAAACAAGGATCTTAACTAGAAAAGGAGATGAGTTAATTATTATCATTAAATTTTAATTTCATTACCTTGATCGCTTATCCTCAGTTGATGCGCATAAATATGGCTACAAGAATAGAAATCTTCACATTATGGTCGAGCTACGCATATCTGTCGGAGATAAGCGGTTAAGGTAGTCGAACTTAATGATAATTGTTAACATTCTTTCTATTTTTTCCAATAAAATAAATGAAATACGGTGTCCCTTATATTGGACCCATAGCATTTTTTGTCAATTTTCCACTAGCAACCAAAAATATCCATTTGTATTGTCCAGATGGCATTGTTCTAAGTAAAATTGAAGAACAGGAGATTTTTATCCCTGGGCCTAATCTTTGTATTCATAGGCCAACATCGAAGCCATTTCCCCTAAGTCACA